ATATCTTAAATTTAAAGCTCATATCGAATTCAAGGATGATGTCAGGAATTATTAGTTTAAACACGTTCAACCTCAAATATATATTTGAACTACCAGTCAACAAACCCTTCAAATACAGTGGTAACCAGAAAACTATGGAATGATTGTCATCTTCTTACTTTCTTTTTATTATAAAATGTCGCTAAAAAGTTTATTTATAACATGTTTTTACAGATATTATTTTTAAAATACATTCTGCATATGAAAGTGATTTAAAGGGATTCTTGTCATAACTTCAAGTCATTTTCTATTGAAAGAAGGACATTTTCGATTATATACGGTACCCTTGAAACCTTAATATGGCCATCATGTTGAAGAAATCTACGTTTTTTTTTGGCCTAAAAGTGTTTAATTGTGACAAAGTGTTCAATTTTGACAATTTCTTCTTTGGTCGGCTTAGCTACATTTTGCCTATAGTCAAAATTTGCTTAGTGTCATTTAGCCTAGTTTAGTTTTGCCTAGTAACATTTTGCCTAGGCAACATTTTGCCTCGGTAACATTTTGCCTAGTTCAAGTTTGCTTAGTAACATTTTGCCTAGGCAACATTTTGCCTCGGTAACTTTTTGCTTAGTTCAAGTTTGCCTCGTAACATTTTGCCTAGGTAACATTTTGCCTTGGTAACTTTTTGCCTAGTTAAAGTTTGTCTATAAGTAATATTTTGCCTAGGTAACATTTTGCTTTGGTAACTTTTTGCCTAGTTCAAGTTTGTCTATAAGTAATATTTTGCCTATTAACATTTTGCTTTGGTAACTTTTTGCCTAGTTCAAGTTTGTCTATAAGTAATATTTTGGCTAGGTAACATTTTGCTTTGGTAACTTTTTGCCTAGTTCAAGTTTGTCTATAAGGAATATTTTGCCTAGGTAACATTTTGCTTTGGTAACTTTTTCCCTAGTTCAAGTTTGTCTAGTAACATTTTGCCTTGGTAACATTTTGCCCAGGTAACATTATGCCTAGTTCAAGTTTGCCTAATAACATTTTGCCTAGGTAACGCAAAAGCATGTTTTTTGTCTATTTCATTTTTCAAACAGATTTTGTCAAGATTTTGTCAAAAATTAAACATCTATTGTTTTTTAAAAGCTGAACCAGTTAAATTTAAATGTTATAGGACAATTGAATTGTATCTTGTCTAGCACTTTTAACATTCCAAATACAATTGCTTAAAACCTATGAAATGATGATGAGTTTTGATTTTCCTCTACGGCAAGATTTTTATTTACTCTACAAAGATTTGGTTATGTATCAGATATATATATATATTTAAAATACTGTTTACATCATGGAGCAAGGATTTATATATAATCATCTTTTGGCATAGTACATTGTGTGGTAGGAAACTGAATGATTTTCAAAAAGTTGTTGAGTTTTTGATAACAAATTCGCGGATTTTTAAAAATTTTCTTTGTGAAATATTTTTGATAAGACAAAAAATGCGCTCTTAGATTACCCTAGGCAACATGTTACCTAGGCAAGCCGTAATCTAGGCAAAATTTTACCAGGCAATATGTGACTCGGCAAAATGTTACCTGGCAAAATGTGACTGGGCAAAACCGAACTAGGCAAAATGTAGCTCAGCTACAATTGTCCTATAACGTTTAATGCATTTAAATTTAACTGGTTCAGCTTTTAAATTATTGACAAAATCTGTTTAAAAATGCAATAGACAAAAAAAGCTCATACGTTACCTAGGCAAATCGTTACCAGCAAACTTAAACTAGCCTAAAAGTTAGCAAGGCAAAATGTTACCTGGGCAAAATGTTACCTGGGCAAATTGTAATTATTTCAGGAAAGTAAAAAGAACACACAATGGGCTAATGAAAAAATGTCCTAAAACGTTCCTATAATTAAAATACATTCTTCGACATAAAAAAGGATACTAAAGATAAAAAACCTTCTAAATCCTTTAGACATCTCCAGATTTAATTTTAGTAATAATATAAATTCCCAGTTACATTTTTACTTATGAAAAAACCCATGCTTCAGGGATGAAAAACCAGGACTGAAAAAACGTTCTGAAACCTTATTGCACCTTCAGACTTCATGTCAGAACGTTACAAAAACCGAATCCTTTTACATATTAACGAAAGAAGAAATGTCCTAAAGCGAACCAAATTAGAATCCGAACCCTATTATGCAGTATTGGTCCTTGTTCTCTATAAATACTGTGCAATGCACTAAATGAAGATTTACATCAATTCTTTAGTAATACTAAAATCTCCAGCAATTTATATTCTGATTCTAATGTTCTAAGATATATATGTTTCTTACTCTGACTGTAAACGTTATGTAATCTGAAGCGTAACAACTGCATCACTTAGACCTTTTTTTGGGTAGAAGTGAGAAATGTTTCGTTGTTTTTCAATATTGAAAAAATATAAACTCTTTAAATAATCTTCTTTGTCTCTATTGCTAAAAATCACTTTTCTAGAAAACCGCAATTGTAGTTATATATTTCAACTTTTAAGGAATCTTTCCAACCCAATGTTGTAGACCTGTGATATATTTCAAACAATAAATTATGTTAGATCAAATAATCGAAGTTTGAAATATTAACGATAACTTTTTAATTCTCAATTGTAAAGTTAAAAATTTAGAATTTTGTTTCCATTAAACAATTAACATTTTATTGCTTCTATTTAAATAAAAATAGTTCTGAGACGATAAAATAGATAGTTATCCTGATCCTATCCTGATCCTGGCCTGATCCTATCCTGATCCTATCCTGATCCTATCCTGATCCTATCCTGATCCTATCCTGATCCTATCCTGATCCTATCCTGATCCTATCCTGATTCTATCCTGATCCTATCCTAATCCTATCCTGATCCTATCCTGATCCTATTCTGATCCTATCCTGATCCTATCCTGATCCTATCCTGATCCTATCCTGATCCTATCCTGATCCTATCCTAATCCTATCCTGATCCTATCCTGATCCTATCCTGATCCTATCCTGATCCTATCCTGATATATGTTAATATAAAAAGTGTATAATGGTGAACGGTTGATTATTGTTTAATCCTTTATCAATTTATCAATTTATATTCTAAACCTGAACAAACATAAACCTACTAGAGGAGATATTCTGCACTGTACACGCCATCTAGACGGTTATTCACCCTACAAAGGGATTGTTCACCTATTTCAAAATAACATCTCGAGTAAAACTAACTTCAACGAAGTGCATCCTGTCTGTAATGCAATATTTTTAGTCATATTTTGATCTCACATTCCTAGTCCGTCATAAATAGCTTCAGAGATTTAAATACAAAGATATTTAAAATACAAAGCCTTACCAAAAAAGTTCAGGAGAGCAAATACCAAAAATCACATTGAATGGGAGAAAACGGGTTCTAAAATTATAAAGTCGTGGACTTTTAACCAGGACCTTTAGTATACCGTGACAAGAATACTTGAACTTTTTACCACTCAAAGCACAGTGTCCCTTGAAAAAGTCCCAAAAAACGTATTTTGCCATTTTTTGTCTGGTTCTGTAGTTCTCAAAAATATAAAAATTTTTAAAAATCTGTTACTTGTTAGTTCTCTTTTGCATGTGATGCAGTTTCCAATGTGTTTACATACAAAACGTTTTGGCAAATTTTTTTTATAAACTTTCGGAAAAGCATGGCGATCAGAAAAACTTGCATTTTTCAATTCACCCTTAACTTCTCTGCATACTAACATAAGAGTAAATTATCTTTAAAAAATATGAAACCGAACAAGTTTTTTTAATATTCCACGGGCCCTTCAGCTAGTATTTTCTAACAGTTTTAAACAAAATCTTTTCATTTATTCTTAGTTGTTTATCATTTTAAAAAAAGAATTGATTTAGTAATAAAAGTTTATTTGTCTAATTATTATATCTTTCGAACCTAGTGTTGTAAACCTTTGATATTTCAAACTATGAATTATGATAAATAGAAAAGTCAAAGTTTAAAATATCAAAGGTTGGGGAAAATTAAGACTTCAGGTTCGTTCGAAGGCCAAGATCCTAAGGTCAGGCAAGGACTTGCAGCTTTTGATCATTTGACACAAACATATAATCAGATGATCTCAGAGTCGGGTCTTATTTTGAGAGTGCACATTGCTCCGTCGGGTCTTATTTTGATAGTGCACATTGCTCCGTCGGGTCTTATTTTGAGAGTGAACATTGCTCCGTCGGGTCTTATTTTGATAGTGCACATTGCTCCGTCGGGTCTTATTTTGAGAGTGCACATTAATCCGTCGGGTCTTATTTTGAGAGTGCACATTGCTCCGTCGGGTCTTATTTTGATAGTGCACATTGATCCGTCGGGTCTTATTTTGAGAGTGCACATTAATCCGTCGGGTCTTATTTTGAGAGTGCACATTAATCCGTCGGGTCTTATTTTGAGAGTGCACATTGATCCAGGCTGCTATAAAAAGCTGCATCCATATTCAGAGCTGGGTCGGCTTCAGAGTGTCTCAACACCATGGTCTTTAACTTTATCTGATGAACCAATTATACTTTTTTTTGTAGCCCTCGTCATGTACATTCTAGAACTATATACCACTTATGTTTCATATTTTAAAAGTAATTGGCAAAGCTCACATCTGCTGAATTCAGATTCGAAAACCAATTATAAAAATATTAAAATCTAAAGAAGTTATGGCCAAATAACGGTACTAAATTCTGGTTTTTTAACTTGTTAATGTTTTTAATGAGATTTTTAGCTCTAACTCACTCAATTTTCAATTTTTTTAAAAACACTTTACAGATTTGAATTCAGCATAAGATTTTCAAGAAAATTATGTATAACATGAAAATAAAAAATAATTTTTGTTTGTGGACTTGTAATGAATTCTCCGATATTAAATCGCCAAAGCGCAACCCTATGGACGTTTTTGAAATTTTTTTTTGATTGCAATATTTTTTTAAGCGAAAACGCAGCAACCCCCGGTGGGTGGTTTGCTCAATTCCAATATTGATCACCCCTACTGTTTAGGTATCCTGGATAAGAAGAAAAGACTGGCATATTCTTACTGTTGGAAGAAAAGAATACACATCAGACCAAAGGTACACTTTACTTATGTTAAGCAGCTTAAAGTGAGTGTTCTAAAATCGAATAGGGGTGTTTAGGTTAATACTTATTAGAATAGTAATTCTATCCGATTATCAATAATTAATAAAAAATTTCCCAGCCGGCTCATCCAATACTCCCATTGTTTTGCGTCGAACTTTACCTTTAATAAACTAAAATTAAAGGGAGAGACGGGCTATGTAATATATTTGAACTGAGAATGCAGTATTGTAGAGAAAAACTTTAAGATTCATTTGATCCTAATGATACATTTTTACGGTGTACAACAATTCTTAAATAAGAGCGTAAAATCGTTTGTAATATTTCACCAGTTGTATGTTAACAAATGCTATGCTAGTTGCATGTATAATACAGGTTGAGAAAAATTATAAACTTAAATCATTGGAAATAAGGTTTCAAAATTAATTTAAAAATCTTGCAGGTTTATGTAAATTCTTTTAGCTAGGGTCGCCTGTCGGAGGTTTTCTTTATTTTAATTGTGAAGACGACATTTTGAAGAAATCTATGAAAAAAATTATAGAAACAAGAAAGGTAAAAGTGATAATGAAATTATCGATTCTACGATTCTACTATGACTTACATCGATAATTTCTTTTTAAAAATATGTTCCTCACCAGCAAAGGAATTAAGTCTTTGTAACAAACTCTGATTTTGAAGTACCTATATTTCTTCCATCTGATGGTGTAAAATTTTAAACTTAGATTTTTTCATCTAACAGAATTCATAGTTTGAAATATCTAAGGTCTACGGCATTGCATTACAAAGATATAGAGATTAGAAAATCATAGTTTGTGACAAAGACTCAATTACTTAGTTTATAAATATTTTTTAAAATGTTTTGTCCGGGTTATTAAATAATTGTAAAAGATGTCTCATCTGCTGGCTGAAACAACTAGTAAAATATTACAAACGACTTTACCCTCTTATTTAAAAATGTCACATTGGTAAAAAAAAGAATCCTAAAGTTATTCTCTAAAATAATGCACTTTCAGCTCAAATATGGTACAAAGCCTGTCTCTCCCTTTAAAAAGAAATTAGTGTTAGTAGGCTGTTAACACTGACACAATAAATTGTTTTCGACGAATGCAACTAATTCTATTTCATTTTGATTTACACAAATATGAAATTTTCTTATTAATTTGAAAACAAAAAGTAATGGGATACTGCACCTTATCCCCTTTATAACTATAGGTGCAGGGCACTTAACCCCCTAGTAACCCCCCCCCCCCCAACAAGGACAAGTTCTGAATAAATAAGTTTTAGAATTGAAAATATTTTCTTGAAGCTTGGATAGTTTTCATTCTTTTGAATTTTTCTTTTAAATTTGTGATGCATTCGATTCTTTTTAGAAATAGTTTCATCAAAACTTAATTCTTCAATTATTTCCTGAATACTTTTATCCATTCTTCAACAGATGATGCATCGATCACTGTCCACTAAACCCCTCTATCCCACTAGGATACCGTTGTGAATCGGACATGCCACTCTAATGCAAAGCGTCATTCGAAATTACGATTACGAACAAATCAAAGAAAATCATAAAAGAAATATGTGGATGTTATACAAGGTGTCCCAAAAAACATGGGAATTCAGTAACGAATTGGATACCGTCTTCGTTATGATTTAGCATTGTAATACCTTATTTCAAAAGCCATAATATTACTTTGTATGCTAGAGTTTATTTTATGAAACGGGTAAAAGGCTGTAAAGGTGTGTCTATAATGTCTCCGCAAGATGAACAGTGAAGACGGACAAGTTTACTCTGTTTGTATACTGCAATTTTCATGTTTTACTAAGTCGAAACATAAACAAACACAATGTGAACATAGCAGACGAAACTCTTACAGATTACAGCTTTCTCAGTAGATATCACGAGTATCACTATACTAAATCAAAGAATTATTTAAAAAGACGATATTGAATTCGTCAATGAATTCCCGTTTATTATTTAAAAAAGGGGCAGTTATGAAAAACAGTTTTTATTTTCGTTGTTTTGAAGGAAAAAATAAGAAAAATTGGACTACGGGTCCAACATTTGGCAAATTATGATAAATTAGCTAGGGAACCCAGTGCTGCCCATGTTACTAAAAGTTACTAAAACAAACAGACAGACAGTCAAAACTAGATTAGAACTTTATGTATGTAGATATATCTATTCTTCTGCTACGGTTCTTTTTAAGGTTTTTGTACGTTTAGATACTTTTATCAGAAAAAAAATAAATTAATTTTTGTCAATTAAGCGAAAATTTAAAAAAAATCTAGATACACAGGGCAAAAAACTGCAGTTGAAGTGAGGGGGAGGGGGGGGGAGGAAGAAGGGTAATGATTTTTAACAAAATTTATACTCCTACAAATTTCCTTCTTTGATTTTATAGATTAATTTTTTTCTCAAATTCTAATAAATTTTGATGGATCACAAAAAGTCCATGAACCTACAGATAAAGAAGGAAATGGACCGTTAAAAACGATGAACGAAGGAAATGGACCGTTAAAAAACGATGAACGAAGGAAATGGACTGTTAACAAACGATGAACGAAGGAAATGGACCGTTAATAAACGATGAAAGAAGGAAATGGACCATTAACAAACGATGAACGGAGGAAATGGATCGTTAACAAACGATAAACGAAGGAAATGGACAATTAACAAACGATGAACAAAGGAAATGGACCATTAAAAACGATGAACGAAGGAAATGGACCGTTAACAAACTATGAACAAAGGAAATTGACCATTAATAAAATATGAACCAAGGAAATGGACCGTTAGTTAAGGATGAACAAAGGAAATGGACTGTTAACAAACGATGAACGAAGGAAATGGACCGTTAATAAACGATGAACGAACTAAATGTAAAAAAGTTGAGCATGCACATCTATCCCTGTAACTTCCAACAAATGCATTATTTCTTCCCTTTTTCTAATTTTCTAGATTACGTTTTCCAGGAAATTTTGATGGATTATAAAAAGTTTCTAAAAAGATAAGTAAACCAAATATTATGATTGTATACCTCACAGTAAAGTTTATCAGAAAGTAATAAAAAAACTGGATTCAACAGACCAACAAAAAACAAATTACAAATTGTTCAAATTAATATTCCTATATCTAAACAGGCTCTATTTTTTTGGCCTACAACTCTAATTTTTAACACTAATCAGAGCCTGAAGCATTTAAAGGGTTTAAAAAACTTATTTTTGATTTTTAACATTTTCTGAGCTGAGCGTTGTAGCCTTCATATGAATATATGTTTATTATTTAATATGATGTTTACGAAAATTAATGATTTTGTAAAAAAGATAGATATTTTGTTACTTTGAACTTTTTTACCTTGTCTATTTAATTAATTTGGACTCTTTGTATTATACTTAAGAAATTTGGCTACGTTGACCGTTTTTTTATATATTGTAATTTAGGACATTTTGAACATGTTTTGTTTTTGTTTTCGGACGTTATAGATGAAAATAAAAGAAAGAAAAACTGTTTTGTAAAAACAACTTGATATATTCAGTGTGTCGGATACCAGTTATTTATTCATAAGAAAAATTGTATAAATACATTTAGTTGTCAGTAAAAAAACCGGGATTCTTAGTTTTTAGAATTTATTATCAACTTTTTCCTTGGACTTTAAGCACTTTAAACAGGGCAATACTATACACTAATCTCATTTTTTATAAAAGAATTTTAAAACAAGTGTACCCTTGACAAATTTATCTGAACAATAATATGGTATATAGCTATTGTTGTTTTTCTTGGTTTAAAAGTGTTTAATTCTAATAATTCCTGTGAAAATTATAAACACGGATATTTTATTTATACTTAATCGGACAAGGCTTTGAAGTGATACCGTTGCATGAAGGGTCACTTGTTAAATTTTCTTCAAATCATCAATTTTCCTAGAATATAATCAGTTCCCAGTATTAAAGTTTGCAACTTCAGTTGATTTTTCGTGGAATTGTTTGGTTTGGTGTTTTTCCAATAGATTACAGCTGATTTGGAGCCGGGGATTTATTTGCAAAAACAGAATTGGATAAAGTAAAAGAGACAGAACAATACTTCAGTCCTATATACTGCAGTGAAGAAGTTGGAATTGATAAGATTTTTCTTCGATCTTCTCTTTTACAAAATTGAACGCAATCAATTTAGTCTGAACAGAAAGATCAATTTAAAAGAAAAACCTAAAATTCAGATATTAAATGTAAGCTATAAAATGGGATTAGCCCTAAACAGGCTGGGGGGAGGGGGCGTTTGACGCCCCCCTTGTAGTTTTTTTGTCCTAACACTATCATCGTGGAATTTTGTGACTTTTAATGAATGGTAAATTAAAGGATTTTTTGCTAAAAAAATATTTTTTTTTAATTTATTGGGTTATCGGTCTAATTTTTTTTCTATGAGCTTACCTTGAAAAATTGGGCTATGAACATGCATTTCAACTATATACCTATTCTCTAATGCCTTTTTTTCTAGGCCCCCCCCCCCCAGGCTATACATAGATTGAGACCCTCGGCCTTTATACGGTTAAAGGGACTGTAAAAGTAAATGAAAGGGGGTATATGCTGAAGCCTGAGAATCTCAGGAGTTGAACGATACCATATAAGACATCTATCTAATGTTCCTGTCTCGAAAAATTGACATAAAACTGTGTCAAAATTACACCAAAATATATATATGTAAGATATACGTCGGTATCACGTAACAAGAACTCCCTCCAATGGCAGTGCAGTATACTGGTCACTTGATGTAGACGGAAACACTGGACAATAATACTTCACTGCCATTGGTTGGTGTTCTGGTGACATGTTCGGGACGCATAAATTATATTGTCAATTATATCTATTAAAAATGAAAAATTATCAAATTCAAATAAAAATATGAGCAAACTTGAGTTCTCAGGCTCCTCTGGGATGTCGTTGTTTTCAGATTGGTTGCGCCTTTTTTTAATATGATCTGTTTAATACTACAAATTTTATACAAAATCTTACATATATACGTTTTGGTATAATTTTGACACAGTTTTATATGAATTTCTCGAGACAGGAATATCAGATAGAACTCTTATTTGTCTCAATCAACTTGTGAGATTCTCAGGTTTCAGCCTATACCCCCTTTCATTTTTCCTTTACAGTCCCTTTAAGAAAGGGCATTGCGAGGTTTTCCTCTCTGATCTCGAAGGGAGTTTAGACTATACCTTGATACTGTTCAGGTTTAGAGTAGTGCACCGTGAGGGTAGTTTGGACTATACCTTGATACTGTTCAGGTTTAGAGTAGTGCACCGTGAGGGTAGTTTGGATTGGCTACTTCAGATCAAATATCTACAGAGTAGAGACTCAGGACTGTATGAATGTCAGGTTAGTAAACATGTCGTTTATGCATCAATTCATCACTAATATACAATATACATATATGAAGTTTTCGTCGACGGGAAAAGGTCGACCCTAGGACGTCTCCGACTATAGCGCGAGTTCGGAATGCTGACGCCGAAAGTACAACAAAAAGAGTTATGTTATAGATAATCAATTTTTAACAAATTTAGACTGGGTTGGGTTATGAAGCCTTGGAAGGTCTGAACCCTTTTAATTGATCTTTCCGACCCTTGTTTGTGGCCCTGGAGTTGAAAATTTCAAAATGTTTGTTTCTGACTTATTTTTTTAAAGGGGGACTTGGAAATAGCCAAACATATTTTTAGATAACATCAAACCACATTTAATTTCATTGTCAGTATAAAAGTATATGTTTGTAAGTACAATTTCTTTTTAACAAGAATTGATGGTAAGCAAACATAAAGTATGGCCAAAATTTAAATATTACAAAAAAAAGGGTTGCTATTCACACTGTGTGTTTTTTTATGAATTCAGATGAGTAACAAGGTCACAAAGCTGTACCAGTAATTCCACTTATAACAGACATCTTCTTATGTTGAGGTTGAAGTGCAAATCCCATGCCTCTTTTAATACTGGGAAAGTTTCAAAATAATTTTCTTGTTTTCCTTTTACACTTTAATGCTTGGTAACATTTTCATTAAGCTTCATTAGCCTGGAATTATCCTTCAGAAAACTACAGGCTCATTGCGATTCATATCAATTATGAATCTTAATAAAAATTCTACACATTTTCATAATGCATTTTCATCATGCATGTTGTGCAAATTATTTAAAGGGCCTGATCACCTAATTTCAATTGAACCTTGATTTAAAGCATTACTTGGCCGATTCACAAAACTGTTACTCAGATTAAAGAGACATACCGGCAATGTAAGGTAGTTGAACTGAGTATGCGTGTTGTGGACAAATTCTTTAGGATTCATTTGAGACATATAAAAATTTTTAGAGATCTGTAAATCCTGAGATTGAGCGCAAAGTCGATGTTCAAAATCGTACTTTAGGGTGGATACGTTTTCAGATTCTGAAAACGTACCCACCCAAATTCATGATTTTGAACATCGACTATGAACTTAAACTCAATAATCATCATCGTAGAAAAGTTTTATATGTCTCAAATGAATCCTAAAGAATTTGTCCACAACATGCATACTTAGTTCAACTACCTTACATCGCCGGTCTGTCCCTTTAAAAAAAGGAAAACATCATAATTTTTCTGTTTTTCTCTCTCCCTGAAAAAATATAAATTCTCTCCATTTCCTTCATCGTCTCAACTCTTTAAATCTGCAATTCTCTTTTGCAAAGAGCCGCAATTAAAAAATATAATTTTCTTATCGAAAGTAAAGGATAACTCAATTATTTTGCCCTCACAAAATATTTGAGTTAGGTAAGTATCTAATCTTTTATTTATAAAACAAACAAAAGATACAAAATAAAGTTTTTCATTCAGGAGAAAATATTTAAAAACCCCAAAAATAGAGGCTGTGTAAATATTCCCCTGCCCCCATTAAAAAAAGGACAGGAAAGTTACATATGTATTGTTAACATTACATTTAATCATTTCATATAAGTGTTGGTGGATTGTTAGTATTTTTTTTTTACGATTAACAAACAACTTTAAAATTAACTAAATTGCAAAATGGTATTCAAAATTTTTTTTTATATCAGTTTTGCGTCAAAAATGTTGTTTTTCAAAATTGGCTTTAAGATATTTTGCATTATCATAAGTCAAGGAACGGATATCCGATTCAGAGTGTTTTCCGGAAATTTGAAAATATTTCTTAAAAATCAGAAAATACAGAACAAATTGAATTTCATTTTTCATTGTAATCATATATAAAAAGGAAAACTGATTGAAAATTTACCATTTCGAAACATTGACGACATCAACAAGACTGAAACGGGTTAGTCCAGGGCTAGTCCCTCCCCACACCCCCTTGAGCTGAAACTGGTTAGTCCGGGGCTAGTCCCCCCCCCCCCACCCAGGACCCTTGATCTGAAACTGGTTAGTCCGGGGCTAGTCCCCCTCACCCCCCACCCCGGACCCTTGATCTGAAACTGGTTAGTCCAGGGCTAGCCCCCCGCTGAACCCTTGATCTGACACTGGTTAGTCCAGGGCTAGCTCCCCCCTGGACCCTTGATCTGAAACTGGTTAGTCCAGGGCTAGTCCCCCCCCCCTGGATCCTTGATCTGAAACTGGTTAGTCCAGGGCTAGCCCCCCGCTGAACCCTTGATCTGACACTGGTTAGTCCAGGGCTAGCTCCCCCCTGGACCCTTGATCTGAAACTGGTTATTCCCCCCCCGGACCCTTGATCTGAAACTGGTTAGTCCAGGGCTAGTCTCCCCCCCTGGATTCTTGATCTGAAACTGGTTAGTCCAGGGCTAGTCCCCCCTGGACCCTTGATTTGAAACTGGTCAGTCCAGGGCTAGTCCCCCCCCCCTGGATCCTTGATCTGAAACTGGTTAGTCCAGGGCTAGTCCCCCCTGGACCCTTGATTTGAAACTGGGTAGTCTAGGGCTAGTCCCTCCCCCCTGGACCCTAGATCTGAAAACTCAAGTGAGCATTATCAATTCTAAATTAACAGATTTCATTGATTATATAAAAAATGTGTACTGCAGTTTCTTATACTTTCAGAACCGGCTTCACTTTTATTTAAAACTTGCCGGTGGAATTTTAAAAACTGGAATTTTGAAAAAAATGTTGAATTTTGAATAAAAGATTTATAATTTTTAACCATAGATAAAGATAGATTGCGCATAAGACGACATTTTTCATCTTGAAAGATATAAATGTACAGAGATGTTTTAAATATATTCCTATTATATATCAAAATTCTTATCTGATAGATAGATAGTTCTTACGAGAGACATCTAGCGGCCAAACTATCGTCCCCCAAAGTACGTGAACAACACGACCACTGTTTAAACATTATTATGGAGAGAACGGGCTCTGAGTGGTTTTTAATAATTATGAAATCCATTAAAACACCAAACCACCGGCCCCGCTTATCATTGAAGTACACTTTGACCCCTAGAAGTATGAGTTCGCGGACTGTACAATTCTTGGTGATTTTGCGTACATAAGCTATCTATGTTTATTTATTTATCTATGTTTTTTACCCTATGTTACTACTGTGGTACCCATGGGATCCCATGACAAATAATAATATATATGCGTGAAGAACTTTATTATATAGGTAAAAAGATGGAATTTCCTGGTGTATCTTACTTGCGGTCCGATCTCAATAGTTAATACATATTCTTATAAACTTGTATAGTAGTAGATTGCTGTCTATAACCAACTTACTGTCTTGTTATATTATAATCTTCATTTTAATATATTTTACGTAAGTGTAGGTTTAAGTATACAATGGATTGATAAATATGATAAGTAATAATCTAATGTAAACATGAATTTACACTTTCCACCCTTCCCCTCCCCCTCACATGTCTTTGATGTTTGCAATACAATTTATAAGAAATTCTCTTTGTAAATAAATTTAGTTTGAAAATAAATTCAGTTTGAAATACTGCATTTTATTTACAACTCGTCTAGCTTTAGCTCTGCAGAATATTGACCTGGATTTGACAAAGAAAGATTGTTACCTTAAAAAAGTCTTGGTTAAATATCTAACCTGAGCTGGGGAACTTATGAATGGTGGATATCGGGATTAAAGCTTGATCCACTCTAATTCTTTATCTCAAGATTAAATAATGCTTGTTCTCCTCTTGTTATTAATCTCCAGATGAATTAGCTGATCGGGATTAAGGATATCCCATTCTAAAGTTTTCAGCTCTGGGAACAGCAGGAAGTAGTTAAACTACGCAAATGTAGATAAACCACTTCTATTGAAAGCCGGATTAAGTTTAAGAGAAGAGTGGTTCAACTTGGTAAACGCTAGTTCAGCTACTTCTCAATATTCATAAAATTTGGTCCCTGAGTGAATATCGTAATCATGTGACGTACAATTTATTCATAAGGAATTTTCACCATTATTTGAGCAAACATTATGGAGGAATCCTTATTTTTCTCTCTAAAAATTGATTATTTTGAATTGACTTTTTCAAGAATGAGAACCAGAAAACTGTGACACAGAATAACGACAAAAAAGCAATTATATTTAATGTTGTTACAAAGCAAATGTATGACTAGTAACTTAATAAATCACTTTTATAAATGAAATGGGTCTGGTTACACTGCACAATTTCTGTTTTCTCATGTTGAATTTATTATTTAAAGTTATAACTTGAGTCTGAAAGTCGTCTTCCTAATCCAGAGTTTTATGATTCTCACTTGTAGATAACAAATATATCCTTTTCATTGCCAATCTGACATAGGACCAAAGAAAATCGGACATGCCACTTTATGAAAGGCCACTTATTATGATACCTTAAAGTACTCGGTATTTGTATAATTGTGTAAGCTATAGATGTGGAAAAATGTTAAATTATGGCAATTTCCATATTTTTCTTTGTTGCATAAATTAGCAAGTTACTTGTTTTTAGAAACCACAGTGGGAATATAATCAATTTTAAGAAAAAAAAACAAGAATACTTTATTCATCTTTTTATCAGGCAAAGATTTCAAAAGTACCGTAATGAATCCAACATGACAAACTATAAAATTGATTATAATTCATTATATATAATCATTAAATATTAAATCAATATATATATATTTATATATTGTCGTTTCCTATGGGGACAAAAGTTAAATTCTGGCAGTTTCCTTATTTTTCTCTGTTGCATAAATTAGAAAGTCACCTGTTTTGAGAAACCACAGTGGGAATATACTTTGTATTTATATAGGTAACCATAAGGTTATAATGCAAGGAAAGTTATTTCAGAGGTGTACACAAGGATGTAATGCAAGGAAAGTTATTTCAGAAGTGTACACATATTTTGTACTGCAATGTACTGTCTCTGGGCGCTAATGTAAACACAAGACGAATGTCGAAGCCTGACATGGGATCCATCTTTCACATAAAAAATCAATGACATATTCTGGTCATAGGAAACTATTATGTCAATTATCAAAATTATCAAAATTTAATGCTTTAAACCTCCTCGTATTCTAAACGAACACTGATGCATCTATTCTTGTTTACAAACTCCGCCCAGAGAGAACTGGTTTCAGTATGTACGCAGAGTATACGCAACTGCGATTAACTTTCCTTGCCTTACATTCTTGGGTGTACGCATCTTTTGTACTGCAGTGTACTGTCTCTGGGCGGTAATGTAAACACAAGTTGGATGTCACAGCCTGACTTGGGATCCATCTTTCACATAAAAAATCAATGAAATATTCTGGTCAAAAGAAACTATTATGTGAATTATCAAAATTGTCAAAATTAAATGCTTTTATCCTCCTCGGACACTAAACGAACACTGATGCATCTATTCTTGTTTACAAATTCCGCCCAGAGAGAACTGGTTTCAATATGTACGCAGAATATACGCAACTGCAGCTAACTTTCCTTGAATTATAACCTTGGGTATCCATGGGTTCCCTGACTAGTATACTCTGTATTTATATAGGTAACCATGGGTTCCCTCACTAGTATACTCTGTATTTATATAGGTAACCATGGGTTCCCTGACTAGTATACTCTGTATATATATAGGTAACCATGGGTTCCCTGACTAATATACTCTGTACTTATATAGGTAACCATGGGTTCCCTGACTAGTATACTCTGTATTTATATAGGTAACCATGGGTTCCCTGACTAGTATACTCTGTATTTATATAGGTAACCATGGGTTCCCTGACTACCCGTCACCTGGTGAACCTTGAAGTACTAGAAGCTGAAGCTGAACTGGATGGTGGTGCTGAGCGCCACCTTGAGGAGGGGAGTAGTATACTGCTAGTGTGTAGAGTACATACATCTATACCTCCTCCTGCATATGTATTCTGGTATAAGGAGAACCAGATGGTTAACTACGATCACACAAACAGGTATTATATCACGTTAAACTAAATATTAAAATATTATATGTTTTTAATCAGAACTCCTCTCATTAAAGATCTATCTAGAAGAACTAAAAAAGTTGTTAATTTCTAATATGTAACGGGATAATTTTGCCTTTATCAAATATGGTTTTTCCAGTAGCAAAATCAATTTAGTTAATGAAATAGGTTTGTGTTTATACAGTTTAGTTCATATTTATTGGACTATTAAAATCATAATTTATATTGACGCTACGCTCTTGGGTAAAGCATTTTTAGCCATTTTCTTCTTATATACGCAACAGATAAAATTAAAATTAGTATTGATCGATATCGAATTCAGTTCGATATCAGCCTTTACACCCCTTCCATCTTTCGCGAAGACTCCCTTTAACAATGTCGAAAATTTATATTCGTATTTAATTTACAAAAACAAAGATAATTTAAATATCAACTATAGTATTAGAATATTAAGTAAAACAGTGACCGTGGTTATATACACAATTCTTTTCCACTTTTCCTAGAAGATTGATGTTATACATGAGAATAGCTAATATCCCCCCCCCCAGGAAAACATTTAGAAAATGAACTTTTCCAAAAAATATAAAATAAGTATAGTTCCTTGTTATGGGAAATATTTTATTTTATGTTTCTATAAACTGTATTTAAGTAAATTTAGCTGACACGGTCGATTTACAACGGTACCTTTTGAACATTTGTTCAAGGATGTACAGTGATAACCAGAAAACTGTGGAATAGAAGAAATTATAGAAATACTTTAGTGTATTTGAAGGTGTGAAAAGAAAATAGATTTAAGTGTAACTTATTAAATTACTTGTCAAGTTAAATGGGTCTGTTTAAACTGCACAATTGCTGTGTCTCATGTTTATTAGACTATTTAAAGGTGTAACTTGAGCCTTAAAGTCGTCTTCCTTTTCCAGAGTTTTCTGGTTATCACTGTATGCATATATGTATAATTTTGTTTAACTTATCTATCCTTATACGTTTGGTTAAATGGTTCTTTTTATAGTATCTTGTTTAAATCTAAAAGAATGTTGGAATGCCATCGTTACAAGAATTTGTTTTAAACGTTCTTGATATGGAGAAATGACATCTCTAAAGAATTTGTTTTATACATAAAGGTGCATATATAATTTGTTTTAAACGTTCTGGATATGGAGAAATGATATCTCTAAAGAATTTGTTTTATACATAAAGGTGCATATATAATTTGTTTTATACATATAGGTACATATATAATTTGTTTTATACATAAAGGTGCATATATAATTTGTTTTAAGCGTTCACGATATAGAGAAATGATATCTCAAAAGAATTTGTTATATACATATAGGTACATATATAATTTGTTTTAAACGTTCTGGATATGGAGAAATGATATCTCTAAAGAATTTGTTATATACATATAGGTAAATATATAATTTGTTTTAAACGTTCTGGATATGGAGAAATGATATCTCTAAAGAATTTGTTTTATACATAAAGGTAAATATATAATTTGTTTTATACAATAGTATAATTCTTTCTTTTTTTTCTTCTTTTTTTTCTTTTTTTTTTTTCTTTTTTTAATAAAAATGTGAAGTTAAAAACTGAAATATAGGTATATATATATAATTTGTTTTATAGAAATAGGTACATATATATATTTTTTTAAACGTTCATGATATGGAGAAATGATATCTTAAAAGAATTTGTTTTATACATAAAGGTAAATATATAATTTGTTTTATACATATAGGTATATATATAATTTGTTTTATACATATAGGTACATATATATATTTTTTTTAAACGTTCATGATATGGAGAAATGATATCTTAAAAGAATTTGTTTTAAACATAAAGGTACATATATAATTTGTTTTATAGAAATAGGTACATATATATATTTTTTTTAAACGTTCTGGATGTGGAGAAATAATATCTCTAAAGAATTTGTTTTATACATAAAGGTAAATATATAATTTGTTTTATACATATAGGTATATATATATAATTTGTTTTATAGAAATAGGTACATTATATATTGTTTTAAACGTTCATGATATGGAGAAATGATATCTCTAAAGAATTTGTTTTAAACATAAAGGTACAAAGTTACATTTGGACCAAAAAAGCTCTGGAATAGGAAACCGACTTATAGACTCCAGATATAAATAGTCCAATGAACATAAGTACAGCACTTGTATAGCGTAAAAAGAAAAACTTGATAAGTGATTTAATAAAATACTATTAACACTATTTGATTTGTAACATCAAATACAAAGAAGTATTAGCTATAATGTCGTCTTTCTATTCCACAGTTTTCTGGTTCTCTCTGTGGAATGGTTTCTATAAAATATAGAACTGAATTGTTCTTTAAATGGTCCCATGTTGCCCTAAACAGTTTATTGTAATATTCGTATTATATGTAACATAAGTTGACTATAAATTTTCGAAGCACTTTTTCACCCTTCCTTTCCCCCCTCCCCCCCCCAAAAAAAAAAAACTTTTCCCCATCTCTACGACCAGAGGTGTATTCAGGGTGGGGGCTATGGGGGCTAAGCCCCGCCCTGGACCAGTGAAATATATTGATTTCAAGGGGTTTTCAGGCCCCAACGGATGCTTAGCCCACCCCTGAAAATAGAGAAAAATTAAGCCCCCCCCTGGACAAATTCCTGAATACGCCCGTGTTTACGACTTTGTTGCTTTTACATATAAAGTTTTTTTATATACAGTTTGACCAAGAACTTTATTATTTATAAAATGTTGTTTTGTTAACCTACTTATAATGGAATGCTGCAGATATTTAGTTTTTTATATACAGTTTGATCCAGAACTTTATTATTTATTAATTGCTGTTTTGTTAACCTACTTATAATGGAATGCTGCAGATATTTAGTTTTTTATATACAGTTTGACCCAGAACTTTATTATTTATAAATTGTTGTTTTNATGTAACTGGACCAGAACTTTATTATTTATAAATTGTTGTTTTGTTAACCTACTTATAATGGAATGCTGCAGATATTTAGTTTTTTTAATCAAATAATTATATTGAGCTCTTTAAAACTTTTCACGCATGTTTTAATTACTATGATGAAGAGGAACCAGAATGTCGTCTCTGCTCTGAGCCTAGTCCAAACCAAATATATATAGTTATTACCTCATGCTGTAAGTTAGATAAAATATATATTCGATCCGTCTTGTTCTTTGCCTTGTTACTGTCGCTACAATACTTTATTTATCTTTACAATTACTGAGATTTAGGCATCATAGTACAAAAGCCATTGAACAATTGTCAAGACGACATTTTATAAATTCTTTCATAGACTCCGAAGTTCTGAGTTAAACTGTACTTGGTAAATTTTGTATAAATGTGCAATTAGAAATATTATAGCCGCGTAGATAAAGCTGAACTACTCCTCTTATGTGCCGGTTCAAGATAAAGAGAAGTTGTTCAACTTTGTCTGCGAGGTTCAACTACTTCCAGATGTCGGGGACTATATATATTTAAAACTATGAGTTCTTCTAGATCAAGAAATCATAGTTTCAATTTTTACCATAACGCTAAGATATAGAGATGCGAAAATTAAAGTTTTAATTGGGTGATCAGGGATCGAATTTATTTAACTTGCTTAACTACACCTACTGTCGACTCAAATCTTTGGTTCTGCAGATTACTTGTTTACATCTATAGGACATGGGATCACTGATTCAGATAAGTATTTGAATCGACGTAAAGTAGTTCAACGATCTAGATTGAATTTATAAAATCCTGGTTCCTTTGTTTAAATAGGATTCTACTTCCTATCTCTCTCTCTGCTATATTTACTGTAAGAGTAGATTAGACTGTTTGTGTATTAGCATATGACTTCGCCAACTATTGGATATTGGAAGAATAAATAAGTAACTTATATCTAACTGTAGTTCCAATGAAGACTATATAATTGACAAAATATATAGATAGATAGATAGATATGCACATATACAGGATATGATAGAATATGAGATGGTTTCTAATGAAAGGAAGGAATAGGATAAAATAGAAGATAGTTTTTGGGGTATGATAAGATAGAATTGGAGATGGTTGTTAAAGGAAGAAAGAAATAGGATGAATTAATATGAAATGGGTTTTAGATGAAAGATATGGAATGATTGCTAGAGGATGGATATAATAGGACGGAATAGGAGATGGTTCCTGGAGGATGTATATTAAAGGACGGAATAGAATATGGTTGCTAGAGGATGGATAGTATAGGACGGAATAGGAGATGGTTGCTAGAGAATGGATATTATAGGACGGAAAAGGAGATGGTTTCTAAAGGATGTAAATTAAAGGACGAAATAGGAGATGGTTGCTAGAGGATGTATAGTATAGGACGGAATAGGAGATGGTTACTAGAGGATGTATATTAAAGGACGGAATAGGAGATGGTTGCTAGAGGATGTATATTAAAGGACGGAATAGGAGATGGTTGCACTAGAGGATGTATATTAAAGGACGGAATAGGAGATGGTTGCTAGAGGATGTATATTAAAGGACGGAATAGGAGATGGTTGCTAGCTAGAGGATGGATAGTAAAGGACGGAATAGGAGATGGTTGCTAGAAGGATAGAAAGAAATAGGAGATGGTTGCTAAAGGAAAGATGGTGTACGGTTGATATTGGGAAGAACATTGAAGAAACAAGGATATAAAAGATGATATACCCCTTGGCAGAAGGAATTTAAGTTGTGACAGAAATAAATTCATTTTCTTAAAATTTTCAAGTTTAAAATACTAAAGCAGCTGGTTCCAACATAAACACACAAAATAGCTTAAACCTATATATGCAAACATATAAAAGTTAAAATCTTCAGTTAGAGCATAGAGTCTATATACCACCTGGAGAAGGGTATATAAACAGCTAAACTACAGATTAACTATACTCTAGGTTAAGTGTATCTGTAGACCACCTGGAGAAGAGTATATATCCATCTAAACTACAGATTAACTATACTCTAGGTTGAGTGTATCTGTGACCACCTAGAGAAGGGTATATAACCAGCTAAACTACAGATTATGTATACTCTAGGTTGAGTGTATCTGTAGACCACCTAGAGAAGAGTATTTATCCATCTAAACTACAGATTAACTATACTCTAGGTTGAGTGTATCTGTAGACCACCTGGAGAAGGGTATATATCCAGCTAAACTACAGATTAACTATACTCTAGGTTGAGTGTATCTGTAGACCACCTGGAGAAGGGTATGACTGAAGCTAAACTACAGATAAACTCAGCTACTATACTAGACAGTGGAAACTATACTTGCAGTCCAGCAAATAGTAAACCTGCTCATGTTTCAGTGTTTGTAAATAAAGGTAAGTGTGAGACATAATTTAAAGAGGCATTCAAAGAAATCCTACAGTTTAAAGGGACAGACCGGCTATGAAAGGTAGTTATACTCTATCTTACATAGCCGGTCTTTCCCTTTAACTTAGAACTTAAGAGACATTGAAAAGTCTTTAAAATTTGTCAAGCATATACAGGGTGAGTCAAAAAAAGTGTGATTTGCGGCGCCTGGTGCAAAATTGTACCTTTTTTGTGCAACTTTCCTGTATGGTGTTTTTTCAATATTTTTTGAAAATTTGTAATATTTTTTGGTACTCCAATGGCCCAAAAGAAAATCCGCGAATCTTTTTTTCTCTCAAAATCAAAAGTTCAGAAAAGCAAAAATGTGCATTTATATTACTTCTCTCTAAATCTAAAATTTTATTAAGATTGAATTACAGAATAACAGAAAATTGGCAAAATTGTAATAAGAAAATTTGCAATTTTCAGTTCTGGGCTAATTTTTAAGGAAAAGTTATTTAAATTCTCTAGTTCCTTTCCTCTTAGTATATTCTAAAGTATTAAATATACGCTGTTCAGTTGAAATCTTAAGAACCATTGAAAAACAATTTTTCCGTAAAAATTATACCAGTTTTGAAAATTGCGAATTTTTTAATTACAATATTGCAAATTTTCTGAGATTCTGTGATTCAATCTTTTTAAAATTTTAGGTTTCGATAGAAACAATTTGTTTAGACATTTTTGTTTTTCTGAACTTTTGATTTTGAAAGAAAAAAAGGTTCGCAGATTTTTTTGGGCCATTAAAGTACCCAAAAAATACGTTTTTAAAAAAATATTAAAAAAACACCATAAAGAAGAGTTGCACAAAAAAGTTACCCTTTTGCACCAGGCGCCGGAAATCACACTTTTTTTTACTCACGCTGTATCATGGCTATTTAACTATTCTTACAATTACTGAGATTTAGGTATAATATTATCTCAGAATATATATATTCTGAGAATATTAATTATACAAATCGAAAAATTGTCAAAACGACAAAAACATAAATCTTGTACGTTTAAAAAAATGAAGGCCCAATTGATAGAATGAGCGAAAACCCAGCCAGATACAGTTTAACTGATTCCGTCCCAGTAGAAGTGGCAAGCTCGGAGCTGACAACTTTTGAACAGGCGTAATTAATTCAAAACGGTTCAAATATGTTTAACCAATTCTCTCATATCTTATTGTTCAAAAAGTAAGGATCCGTTCAATCAAAGTCCCAAGCTTAATTAATATAATTGAAAATTGTAGTTCTTGTGATTTCTTTGATTACTTGTTGTTCATGTTGCTTTATTGATTTCTACTTACATTATTTATTCAGACCGGTTAATGTTTACATTTATGCTTTATATACTTAGATACAGGGGTACCCATAAAATAATGAGACTTAGATGACGACATTCCACTCTTTAAATACCAAGATGTAAAGGTTGATTTCAGTACTTCTGCACTGACAATAATCTTAAAAATCTAATACAATGAAGTGTTCAAAATATAATAAATTTTACAGCTGCAGTGAATTAGGAATTGAAAAAAAAGACTCATTAATATCCGGCCGTAGGTACACTGTACACTGTACAGGGTATAGTCTCATTCTTTGTGGGCAACCCTGTACAGTTTATCAGACTGGTTTATGAGAGGGGAGGGGGGCAAGGTAATTGAGATTGTTTGCTACTTATAGTAAATATGGGGAATACATTTTATAATAAAGGTTATATTTGATCTGGAAAACAAAGGAATAAAAAAGTTAATGTTAAAAACACAATGTCTTCTCAAACATGACAATTGAGAGATGATATAATGCCCGATTCACAACAGTACTCTAAATATTTTTTTCTTATAAACAATTTGAAAGATATTGTCGTTTTTTAGGGTTAAATAGTTTAATTTTGATAATTCATACAAGTTTTTCTAAAGTAGAATTGCGCAAGTCAATTTTGTAGAGAAACCATAATTGAAAATAACAGTTCTGGGACGGGTATTGCCATCTTTGCATGGAGGGTCAATTTAAATTACTCTTACAATCTTTTATTTGTGACAAAGCGTGTATGAAAAATGTATTAGAGAACACAGACAATATTTATTTGGACACCCTGTATGTCAGGATGGAGTATTTAAAACGGGTGTCGGAAACCCGGAAGAGATCTGAACTTTTCTGTTTTCAAAGAATAGAATAATTGAATTACAATTGTAGTTCAGAAGTCTGGAGTGCCAAAATCAGATTTGAGAATTCCATTTCCATTCTTTAGATTTCCCCCGGGATAATTTGCGACAGAAAATCTGCAATTTGGCAAACTTTTGATTTCAATATGCAATAAATTGTAAATATTATGAAATTGTATGTAACTGGATGAAAGCAGATGGAATACTAATATATATTTTTGTAATATTTTCTACAAGCTTAGATACAAGTTTATATGGCAAAAATATATCAATTTCTACTAAGGAATCGTACACTGTCCACAAACTCTAATTTCTATATCATTTCAACCTGATGGTGTAATCCTTTAGTATTTCAAACTTGAACAATTTGATCAGTCAGAATTCAGAAATCATGTAAAGATTGAGTAGAGTAATCAAGGTTTCTTCATGTTGAAAACATTTTTATAAATAAAGGAATTTCTAATATCCTTTATGTGAGGTTTTGCAAAGATATTGGTATTAGAAAATTAGAGTTTGTGGCAAAGACTTAATTTCTTTTTATTTTAGGGGATAAGATGCAACCTAGAAAAAGCAAGGTAAATTTTTTTTCAATTTTTTTTCATGATTATCTTTCTTTTTGGTTTCTATCGTTTGATATATTCTAATATTATTAATAAAAATATCAAAATTAAACAATTTTTAAACTAGAAAAACTAGTATATTTTCTATATTCAGAATAAATTTAATTGAAAGTTAAATAAAAATAGAAGGTTTCAGAGTGTATTCAGGCATGTATAGTTTAATTAAGTCTTTTCTCTCGCTCATAAATCTATATCTTTTATTACTTTACAGGATTTTTTACTAAATAAAAAAATTTAGTTGATTTAATTTAGAAAAACATTAAGTTTGGATACTCTTAATTCTTCTCTTTGAATTCGAAATATTAAGCATTGTGACAAACATCTCACATGCATTTACTATGCCAAGCGATTCAAAACAAGACACATATCGAAAGAGGAAGGTTGAATGTGCTATTTTCTACTAAATTCGAATTTTTTTTATTGCACATTTTTGGAACAATTTTTTAAGGCCTGTTTCGGAAATTGAATTCCGTCAGTAATTAATGTTAAGTTTTTTAAATAGTTATTTAAGTCAATAAATCTTAAATTTAATCTAAAAAAAAATAAGAATATCTTATTCATCCTTGATAAAGAAACAGTTGTAAATCAGACATCCCATGGATCAGAATTACGCCTACAGTCCCTTTAATTTGTATATTTGTACAATCCCTTTAATTTATATATTTGTACAATCCCTTTAATTTGTATATTTGTACAGTCTCTTTAATTTGTATATTTTTACAATCCCTTTAAATTGTATATTTGTACAGTCCCTTTAATTTGTTTATTTGTACAATCCCTTTAATTTGTACTGTTATACAAAGAAATATTTGGGTATTTTTCAAAACCATATTACTTTACTAAAGAAACTGAGTACTTGCCACAAACACTGATTTTTTAATTTTTATAACTTTGCAACCCAATGTTATAGGATATATGGACTAACTAATTTGAGTTTATGGCAAAAGCTCAGTTCGTTTACAATTTTAGATTTATAAAACTATGTTGTATTCCAGATTGTTTGATACATGAGTGAACAGTCCCTTGAATCCAACAGG